ATGACTAGCGAATTTGAAATGTCAATGATGGGCGAGCTCACATTCTTTTTGGGACTCCAAGTTAAGCAAATGAAAGATGGAACGTTCATTTGCCAAGCTAAATACTGCAAGGAGCTCCTAAAACGGTTTGAAATGGACAACGCCAAAGCCATGGCGACCCCGATGAGCACGTCTGACCATCTTGACAAAGACGAGAAAGGTAAGGAAGTAGAGGTCAAAAAGTATCGAGGTATGATCGGATCCCTTCTCTATCTTACTGCTAGTAGGCCGGATATCATGTTTAGCGTATGCCTTTGCGCGAGGTATCAATCATGTCCGAAGGAATCACACTTAACCGCGGTGAAACGGATCATGAAATACCTTGTCGGCACGGTTAACGTTGGACCGTGGTATCCAAAAGGCTCTTCTTGTCATCTCGTTGGTTATTCCGACTCAGACTTTGCCGGTTGCAAATTAGACCGTAAAAGTACGAGTGGGACTTGCCACTTACTTGGTAGCTCCCTTGTCTCATGGTTTAGTAAGAAACAAGTCAGTGTTGCGTTATCCACAACCGAAGCGGAATATGTAGCCGCCGGTAGTTGTTGTGCTCAAATCCTCTGGATGAAGCAACAACTCGTGGACTATGGCCTTAGTATCAATCACGTCCCCCTTCGTTGTGATAATACTAGCACCATAAGCTTGACGAAGAACCCTGTTCTTCACTCAAGGACGAAACACATTGACATTAGGCATCATTTCATTAGAGATCATGTTCTCAAAGGTGATGTCGAAACTGAGTTTGTTGAAACACACAACCAATTAGCCGACATTTTCACAAAACCTTTAGAGAAAGAGTCGTTCTTCCGCATTCGAAGTGAACTCGGAATCCTTGACTCCACGATGATCTAAGTTTTGAATCTAAATTTATTAAACATTTACTAACTTGAGCGTCGGAGAACTTTTTCTTTTTTGCAGGTACCCCGCTCATGAAATCAGTGGGAACCATGCAAACAGCGCTATCCAGGAGACACAACAGCGCTGTTGAGGGAAACACCGCCAACCAGAAAGTTTTCCAACAGCGCTGTCCCAGGGAGTCCCTTACATCTTCACTTTCCAGAAACTCTTTGAACATCGATGTTTTCTTTTAAACATCGCTGTCTTCCCAAAACTTTTTGTTTTCAACCAAAACCAGAAACTTTTTAAACAGCGATGTCTTACCTACAACATCGATGTCCACTTTTACAAATTTTTTTTCCTCTATCGCAAAACAGCGATGTAGAAAAGCCCAACAACGCTGTTCAGATGGGTTCAAACCCTTACACAATTCCAGAAACTTTTGGAACATCGCTGTAGGGTACTCAACATCGCTGTCCTTTTGACTCTTTTTTAAACTTGACGCAGAACAGCGCTGTACTAGGCACAACAGCGCTGTTCCAACAGCGATGTCGCCTATGGAACATCGCTGTTCTGGTCAAGATTTTCAAAAAAAAATATCCGCTGCACCCTCATTTATTGCTCCAACAGTCATATTTTTTGAAAATCAGGACGTTGGAGACCACCTTTTCTATAAATTGGGACCCCCTCTCTTCACTTTTACACACACAAACACAAATTCCTTCAATCTCCTTGCATACTTTATCCTCTCTAACATTTTTTTGGAGATTTCTTCATCACCATGGGCAAAGACAAGAGCAGGGCTGCTAACTCCGGGAAATCGAAGTCTAAATCCCGGGCACCGTCCACAACCTCCGAAGAACGCCTCTACTACGGCGATGGGTCGTACCTCTGGTTCGATTCCGAGGAGGAGCGCACCCGATTTCTCACCTTTTTCTCTAAACGGGTTGTGGCTCCCCCACGGAACATCCCGGAGCGCTACCCGGAGTTGGAGGGCTACGACGACCTCAACGCGCAGCTTCATCAAGCAGGCCTTTGGCCGTTCGTCTCCCGGGCACGCAAGGAGATCAACCCGGCACTGATCCGGGCCTTCTACTCCAACCTCCGGCGTGAGGATGACGTGCTCTACTCGCTCGTCAAGAGCACGCCGATCGAGCTCACCGTGGAGCAGTTTGGGCGCATCGCCGGCCTCCCCTTCCAAGGCGATGATGTGTCTCACTATGGTGGAGAGGATTGGGTGCTCAACAACGAGGGCCTTATCCTCAACGAGCTTGGCATCACCGAGCTCAAACGCCATGCCTCGGGCCGCCCAACCATCCACTCCGCTAACCCCGAAGGCCGCCTCGACCTCTACATCGTCTCCCGGATCATCAAACCGAGGAAGCACGGCCACACCATCATGCACGGTGAAGACCTCAAGCTCATCCATGCGATCATGCATTCGGCCCCAATCAATTGGGCAAAGTTTGTCATGATCAACATGACGATCGCCGCGTCCACCGACCACGATCACCTTCTCCCGTACCCATTTTTGGTGATGGACATCCTTGAACGGTTCAAGGTAACCACCACCGTTGGCCCACTCACGAAGCCACGAAGATTTGGACAATCAGCAACCAAACCTTCCTCAAGCGGTCGGACAACGCCGCAGCTGCCACTGCCGCGCCACGCCGCAGTGCCTCTGCCGCTGGCCCAGCCGAATCCCAGGCCCGGGCCAACCTTGCCTCCATCGCCGACTCCCTCAACCGGCTCCACCTCAAGGTTGACGGGATGGGGAGCTATCTTGAACGGCTCGACGTGGCTGTTCAACGCCAAGGATACGCGATGAACTCGTACTTCCAAGGCATCAACTACGTCCCCCCACCGTACCACAGCACGTTCTTTGGGCAAGTGTACGGTGACGAAGACGAAGCCGATGGCTCATACGCCCCGTCAAGCTCCCCGGAGGAAGACGAGTTCGACGATGCCATCGATGGGGATGAGATGGACGTCGACGACGACGAGGAGGAACCCGAAGACGAAGACTAGGACTCCCCTAGAATTTCTATCTCTTTTACTTTAATGCTTCCGTTGTACTCCGTTATTTCCCTTTATTAAATAAAATCAATTTCATTTATCTTTTTGTTAATGTCAAAAGGGGGAAGAAAAGGAAAAGGGCTATGCATATACTAAGGGGGAACATCTCTCTAAACGAGACCGTTTGATTTTAATCCAACTAAATTTTTTTTTAACACAAATTAAGGGGGAACTTTTTTTTTTTTCACAACTTTTGAAAAACAAATATCCCTTAGTATGCATATCCCCGTCTTGTTTGCCATTATCAAAAAGGGGGAAATTGTTGGAACACGGGTTTACGCCTACGTCGTACTAAACTGTGTTCGGTTTTTATGACAGGTTTTGATAATGCCAAACCGCCGCGACACATCAAAGCTAAAGTGAGCAAAACTAAGGTGAAGGAACATGGCATGATGACTTGAGAACCAAGAACCCAGAATCAAGAACGAAGAACTAGAATTGTATTGAGTCGGTCTTCATGTGATCAAGACCGGCACAAAATTCCAAATCTTGGCTCTCTAAGCTCAATTCATAAAATCTCTTTTACATATTCAAAAATATTTTTCTTAAGTTTTAAACTTGGCTCAAAACACTTGGAGTTCGCCCAAGCCAAAAACCAAGCCATCCGGCGTTCGGCTTTCAGAAACCGGCGTTCGGCTTTCGGTTTTCGGCATTGGTTTTTTGGCGTCCGAACCAACCAAGTGGTTTTCAACTTTTTATGACTGGTTTTTACTTCTGGGCATATTTAAATAGTTCTCCAACAAAAACGCCTCAAAAACTACTCTCCGTTTTTAGTCGTTTAGTGAAAACCATGCGAAATAGCACGAACTTGGTTAGCCATGGCTGTCAACTAAATGATGTGGTTTTCAAGATGTTTTACTTGATTTCTTAGCAAAATGCAATAAACAAATGTTTTCTAAACTTGGTTTTTATTTTGGAGAACTTGCGTTTTTGACATCGGCTAACGGCGTGACTAAACCAACCATGGGTCTGGCTAAACTAAGCCCAACAGCGATGTTGAGGTAATCAACAGCGCTGTCTGGCCTGGGTAGCCAAAAACATGGTTTGGCGTTAAGTCTTCCAACAGCGATCGTGGAATTAAGACATCGCTGTTGAGCCAAGGTTGGATTTCCATAAACTTCTGGAACAGCGATGTAGGCTCCCCTACAGCGCTGTCCAACCTAAGCCAAAAATATAGTGCATTGGCAGAAAGTTTTTGGACAGCGATGTTGACCCAGCAACAGCGCTGTCAGGCCAAATTTCCACCTTCAAAAGTCAAACCTAAACAGCGATGTTCAAGTAATAGACATCGATGTAGGGACCTGACCTTTGGAAGGAACTTAAGGCTAAAACTTTGCTTGTTTGGAAGTCAACAGCCAAAACAGCGATGTAGGGGTTTTTGGACATCGCTGTTGGCATGACCGTTGCTTCCCAATTTTTAAAATCAAGCCTAGAACAACGATGTCCAGGCCTAGGACAGCGCTGTCTAGGTGAATTTCAGCAGATCCAATTTTGATCAAATCCCACAAATTGTGCCAATCACCCCTTAAATGTTTTGGTCCGTTGGAGCCTATTTTTCCACTATAAAATGGGGTGTTTAGGTCTGTTTTACACATCACATTACTTCACAACTCCTACTCTTTCATTGCAAATCATTCTTTAATTATTCATAGCTTTTGAGAGCCATTTTTGTGAAGCTTGTGTTGTGTTCTTGAGCGTTCTTAGTTTACTCAATATCCACTCTAAAGAGAGAGTATTGTTCTTGAGTGTTTTTAGTGTTCTTAGACACTTGACAAGAGAAGGTATTTCTCTTGTTGTT